TCTCTGTGTCTCTCTCTTTCATTGTTGGTAGTTCCCTACTGGAAAAAAAAAATTCTTATAACAAGTAGGAATAGTTAAGCAAAACAAACACATACGCTGACCCTGTCCAGAAATGATTGTCCCAGTCTATACTCGAGTCTCCCCCCCATACACACACACCTCACTGTCACGTGGCAGATAGCATCCTATGTACCTTTCCAGCTACATTCTCTGTTCCAGTCAAACTGGTCTGTTATCTGTTTCCTGAATGTGACATTCCATCGCCACCTCCCTGTGGTTTCTCAGAAGTAGTTTCCTATGTCTGCAATAGTCTCTCTTCTCACTTCAGCTGTGTACAATACTTGCCTCCCTTTCAAAACACAACAGAGGTGTGCTTTCAGTAAATGAATGAAATTTATTAAGTGCTTACCATGTGATAAGTACTGTGCAAGATGGTGGACATACAAATAAAAAATTGAGACAGACCCTGCCCTCAAAAAGCTTACATTCTAATGTGTGAGGCCTGCCTTGAGTTCTGTCTCTCTCTCTTACACACACACTCTCACACACACACACACACACACACACACTCTCTCTCTCTCTCTCTCTCTCTCTCTCACTTTCTCACTCACTCGGTATTTATTTACCCTGGCAAAGTCACTTAACCTCTTAATGCTCAAGGCAGCTCTTTTTTTTATTTATTAATAAATTTATTTATTTTTAGCTTTCAACTTTCACTTCCACAAGATTTTGAGTTCCGCACTTTCACCCCGTCTCGCCCCTCCCCCCACCCCAAGATGGCACGCATTCTGAATGCCCCTTCCCTTGGTTTGCCTTCCCTTTCAAGGCAGCTCTTTAAGAAGGGAAGTTGCTCAGATGCAGATACTCTGCTTCAGTAGTTTCCTCAAGAAATAAGATCATTTTGCTAGTTCATTTCTACTACTTTTTGGATGTTTATCTGGCCTGTCTGTGCATCTGCCACTGGTTCAGTTGAATTCAGCAAACATTTATTACTCTCTTTTGTGTTCAGGACATTACATTAGATGCTGAGAAGGGGGGTGAAAAGACGAAAAATTACAGACCCCTCCTTCGGGGACTTGAGTTTTTCTGGAAGAAATATGACATGTGTATAGCATAGTAAAAAGCAGAGGGGACAAAGACAAGATCTAGGGAATTTGATGAGGGAGAAAACATTTTCAGCTAAAGATAACAGGTAAGGCTTTTTTCATGGAAGAAATGGTACCTCAGATCAGGTGCCATTAAAGAAGAGAAGGAGTTGGAGGAAGGAAGAACAGGGTGCTCATTCTAGGCATTCATGGGGTGGGGAGGAGTGGGAGAAGACATTCAGTCAACCTGTGTGAAGAATGCACAGAGGCTGGAGGCAACAGTTCCAGTTGGAGAGCAGCTTGAAGTCCATTATAACCAGACTGCAGAGAACACAAAGGAAACTAAGGTGAAATAAGGCTAGAAAGGGGAGTTAGAGAGCATAGTATCTTGTACATAGTAATAAAGGTTTATTGAATTGAGTTGGATTGGGGGCAGATTATGGAAGTAACTTTATATTACATCTAACAGGAAGTCATTGGATGTTTATGAGCAAGAGAGTATCTGAGTCAAATCTATCCATTAAGAACTGAAAATGACAAGGAAAGAATTTTATTTGGGGGTAAATGAGTTCAACTCTATAGCCTGTTTATCACTGGGAACAGGAACCTCAAGGCCAGGCTCTTGGTATTGGTGCTTAGGTGAGAGATGCTATGGTTCCAGTAGTACTTCACTGAAAAGACATGTGCTCACTTGTGGGTGCCATAACCTTGAGCACATGGGAATCCTTTCCATTCTGGTATGTAAGCTACCAGTAAAAGGTGTAGGAGTGAAAACATACTTAGAAAATTGCAAAAGTTAAACACCAAGTATGTAATTGTGGGCCTTTTGTTCCTAAGTGACCTCCTCCCTTGATCAACTGCTTATATGAAGAATGAAAGTATTTAAAAATTATAGCATTTTGTTATTTTAGTTAGATTGGGGCTTTCAGATACTTATCTTATGAAAGGTTTGTTTTCTAACATATTGATTTCTCCCTTTCCCTTGCTGTTCAGCCCCCACCCAAAAAATAAAAAATGTCCCGACTGCCTTGGTATTCTCTTCTCACAAGGTCATTTATAGCCAAAAGCACTTGAATGAATGTTGTGAGGAATATACCAAGAGCATTTTTAAAGACTAAGGATTTGTAGTCCACCGACATTCAACAAATGTTTAAGCATCTACTATGTTTGAGGTTGGGGGATGGGGTGGAATGTGTCCTGCCCTCACAGAGCTTTCTAGTCAAGTAGGGAGCAACCACACAAACAAATATATCATACTTTGCATTGGATGAGATAATAATAATTGTAAAGCGCTTAGCACAGTGCCCAGTAAGTCCTACATAAATGTTAGCTATTATTGTTGTTAAGTGCATTAGGTACAAGAAAAAAATGATGCATGAGATCTGAGGGGAAAGATCTTGACTGAAGTGGTTCTAGGAAGGCTTCATGTAAGAGGTGGCATTTTGAGTTGGGTTTTAAGAATAACACAAGCGAAGGAGGTTATGGAGAGGGAGGTAGAGGACATCTCATGGGGAACACTGTGAGCAAAGGCATATGGTAGGAGATATTTTACATTTTAATAGGTTCTAGAGGTGCAAGGGCCTTAGAGATTGTCTACTGCAATCTCTCCCTTTGCAAATGTAGCAGCTGAGTGCCAGAGAGGTTAATTAAGATTGCATGCACATGGCTAGTAAATAGAAGAGCTGGAATTTGAACCAAGGCCATTTGACTCCTAGTATTTTTTTTTCCCCCATACTCTTCCTGCCCTCATTGTAGAAAAGAACTCTCTGCATCTACAGCAAATATGAGAGTGACCAACTAAGGGCTTGAGACTCCATGATGCATATAGAAATGAGGTTGTGTAATTCTGTGAAGAAAATAAGGCGAACTGTCATGAAATGTAATTATAGAATCTCAGAGAACAAAACGACTTTCAATATACCTGTAAGAGTGGTGTCAATTGGGCTAGTTCCAACCTTGCTATGGCAGGCTTTTCCTCTGTGTAGTTATATTTCAGGGGATATCATTTTACCCACAGTATACCCACATTGATGTAATCAACCCTGGTTATCAAATATTGGCTTGGACTGTCTTACTAGACAAGATTTTCTTATGGAAAGAAAATTTTCATTACCGTGTTTTCTATTTTCTCTTCTTCATTACCTTGTAACCTGTGTTAAAGATAAAATTTATTGACATGAATGACATACTCTTAAAGAGTATGATGACACAAACTCAGTTACTTTTAATGAAGAAGAGAAATTCCTTTTCCCTCAGTGAGTAATAGAGGTGTTCCCTGGGTCAAAGTTTCAGAGGGAAGGGTGTGTGCAAGTGGGGGCAGAGTCGGGGGGGGGGGGTGGATGTATAAACCTAAGACAGTATTTTCTTATTTTCTTTTTTGGCTTTTATTAGTATTTGGTGCTGTTGTTCAGTCATTTCTGTCATTCGTGACCCCATTTGGGGTTTTCTTGGCAAAGATACTGGAGTGGTTTGCCATTTCCTTCTCAATGTGAGGAAACTGAGGCAAACAGGGTTAAATGACTTGCCCCAGGTCAAACAGCTAGTAAGCATCTGAGACCAAATTTGAATTCAGAAAGATGAGTCTTCCTGACTCCAGGGCTGGCTGTCTATCTACTGTACCACTGAGCTGTCCCATTAGTACTCATGCTTAAGTGAAAACTATTTCCTTCATTCTCTTGGGAGAACAGAATATAATGCAAGCATTTCTTTGTTAGCTATTATGATATTTAAACATCTAAAATGCTTTTCAAAAGTCCTTATATTTTAACCTATAATCATTCATTTAGAGCTGGAAGAGGCCATCAAGATGGCCCTCGATGGTCTGTTCTAACCCCTCTTATTTTACATATGGGAAAGCCAAGGCTCAGAATTTGTGTCTTTCCCATGGTCACCCAGATGTGGGATTTGAACCCAGGTGTTCCTAGCTCCAGCTCTGTCATACTGTCCGTTAGACTATGCTATCTTTCTAAGCCATGATTACCTGCTTCTTAAATTCAAAGGGCAAGAGTGGAATATTCAAGTATTTGAATCTGTTTTTCTCTAATAAAACAGTACATTTGTATTTTCAGTTCTTCACCTGTTTTGAGTAATTCATATTAGGAAGTATGAAATATGACAGCTTAGATTCTGCAACCATCTGGGCCTCCATTTTGCTGTGGGTCCTTAACCTTTCAAAGAGGCAATATGCTGTAGTGGATAAAGCACTGATCTTGAAGACTCACATTCGAGTTCTGATGTTTACCTTTGTAACCCTGAGCATGTCATGTAGTCTTCTTGTATTTCAGTTCTGCCACCACCACTCCCTCAACCCCAACAAGACAGGCATAATACCTATCTACTTTGTAGGAATATTTTGAGGGGGGAAAAACTGTTTGGAAACTTTCACACCCTAAAGAGATATTATGTGGTATTATTTCCTTAACCCTTCTGTCTGTCTCATCATTTGCAAGGTAGGACTAATCATATTTACTCTCCTTACCACACAGGGTTATTGGGATGCCCAAATTAGATGCATGTAAAAGCAATGTTAAATGTTAGGAAGAGATACAGATTGGATCTATGATTTCATTGATTTAGGGAGCTTGCAGTGATTGACTCTTTCTGTAGTCTTAGAGAGTTGCCTAAGTCACTGAAAGGTTAAAAAAAAAAAAGACAACTTGCCCAATGTCACCTAGTCAGTATGTGTCAGGTACAAGGCTTGAACTAGCCTTTTCCGGCTATATGACCAACTCTATAAAGTACTGTGCAAATGTAGATACTTTAAAGAATTGGTGATTTCATCTCTTCCTAATCCCTCCTTATCCCCCCACAAAAAAGAAATGTGTATGGGGCTGCCTTTTTGCTATTGTTATTCTTATCAAATGGCCAAAAATAATGCAAGTCTGATTCAATCTAATGAAATGTTTTCTTCCTCAGTGATGCTACAGCCTTTTGATTATGATCCTAATGAGAAAAGTAAACACAAGTTTATGGTTCAATCTATGTTTGCTCCTACTGACACCTCAGATATGGAAGCAGTAGTAAGTACTGAATACATTTCTCTCTCTTTTTTTTTTTTTCAGGAATTAAATAAAACTGCCTAGGCACAGATTTGTATCTGCAGTCTTAAAAAAATAAATAAATCAAATAATAAATCAAAAGTCATTTAGGTATGAGTGATATTTTCATAGTTTTTAGATTATTTTTCTAGTATTTCCTAAAGTCTATCATTTTTCATCCTCTCCCCCCCCAAAAAAAAACCAGTGTGGGGAGGTCCATAGACCCTGGCAGTTTGAATGGGCTCTTCATTTGTTTTCTCCATCAAGAATCTAAGGACCTAAGCTTTTTCAGTTTTATCTCAACCCTACAATTTTGTTTTCACCATAATAACCAAATATTTATCTGTCTCTCTTGCTCTTTTGAATAAGGATGTAGTAGCAAATAACTTCTCAAATGCTATCAATACACGAGGGAAAAATGGGATGATGGGTCTATGTAGTCCTAGAGGGACTCCCCTTAAAAAGAAATTTATATGATAACTTTATTCTATATTTAAAAGGAATAGCAAGTTGTACATAATAGATTTGCAGTTTCATATGCAATCATCTTTTTTTATTACACTATACTATGGGGAGAAAAAAGAAAGAAAGCATTCATGCGATCTGAGCACATTACCTAATAAAAGACAGACTTAGTACCTAAGAAATGAGAAGACTCACATAGACAGGTGCCATTCTGTCCACACATTTGGGAAAAAAAGGAGGGGTGAAGAGTTACAGCTTATAAAAGGGAGATCCTCATTCAAGGGAACAAAATGTAATTGAAGAGGGCAATCCCTTTAGAAGGGGACATCTGGTCACCTTAGGATAAACAGATGCAACAAATTATATGTCCCACAAAGCTTTCAACACTTTACAGCCAGCCAACCTAAAATAGAACAGTGGGTTCATCCAGGGAATGGAGACAGGCTAATTCAGTTATCTACTTGTCATTCACTTAAATTATCTTTCATAAATACATCTATTTTTAGATAGATCTGTCAAAGCATTATTCTACAGGCTATTCCCACACGTAGCCCACCCTATGTATATCCATATAACATTTTCATTCAGACCTTCCTTCATCAGAGCATAGCCAGCCGGCAGAATTTTGCTTTAACCTGTGGAACATTGTAACTAGAAACTTTGGATGGTTTCACGTAGAGATGAATTAAAGAATTGCTGCTTCCACATTACTTAACCTCTCACTCTCAAATTTGAGGGAGAACTGGATGGTGTTGGTAGGCTATTTTACCTTTCATAGAGTTAATAACAAGAGGCCCCTCAAATACTTTACCTTTTGATTTTCTAGTTTATGCTACTCCTTAATCAGGTAAATTGGGGTATTAGAGGTTTTTGATTGTTCAGAGTCTTTTCCATTTTGCTTTGAAATGTATATGCTTTTCCCAATTTAACAAATTATTTTATCTAGGATTGATAGTAAAATTGGTTTTTATTCCCTGAATGTTTCACCAGCAAATAGCAGCTGAGAGAGAGCTCAGCCTAGACATGTCCTAAGTTATAGGGGGAAAGCAATCTGAAATTTAAAATGTTCAGTGAAATGTTTTCACCCAAATAATAGCAGGTTTAACTGGTATAGCAGAAAAGGCCATGGTGTAAAAAGTAACTTAATTTTGTTTTCTCAGCCTGGAGTTTGCCTGACTGATTGGGCAAAGGGTTACTTTTGGGCTTGAAATGTATTGATGGAACTCATAGAGGCTGCTCCATTAGCACCAGGAGTATGAAGTGCCTTCTAGGTTAAAGTGGCACGAGGCATTTTTTTTTTTTTTTTTGCAATATAAAATAAATTAAGCCTGATTTAATATAAAAACTGCTGCACATAATGGTAACATGGAATAGATCTGATCTTGACTCTGGGAAAAGGTTTAGTCCTTAAGTGCCATTGGCTTATAAATTCGTGATTAGGTTCAAAACACGTGGAGGGGTAGGAATTAACAAACATTTCTTTGCTGTTGCCAGCTGGTTTTGCTTCTGCTCTTCCAGGCTACTTTTCCTTGAGGCTTTTTTTCCAAATTCAGCCATGGTCACACTTGCTACCAGTATCCCACCTTCATGCCTTAATTATGTACCCATTTCGGAGCAGCTAGGTGGCACAGTGGATAGAGCACCAGCCCTGAAATCAGGAGGACCTGAGTTCAAATCCAGTCTCAGACCAAGCACTTGATACTTCTTGGCTGTGTGACCCTGGGCAAGTCACTTAACCCCAACTGCCTAAAAATAAAAATGAATAAATTATGTACCCATTTCTAGGTATGTCAGCAATCTTCCCTGACACTGTGCAGGGTGGCCTGTTCCCACTTACAAAAGACAATTCTCCTTTTTCTTTCCCCTTTGTTTAATATCTCCCTGATTGGTATACCCCATACCTGGCCTCTTTCTTCTCTCAAACTCAAGGAAGAGAGAGCTTTCCCTTCTCTTCTTATCCTAATATGTATGATCACCAACATTAAAACTTTTCCACAGAACCCTTCTTTTACATCCCATGAAACATCAGGGTTCTTCAGAGCACGGTTTGGGAAAACATCCTAACCAAAGGTAGGACTTCCTTTGGCATAACATGTTAACAGAGCAAAAGAAAGGTAGATGCTACCTATCTCAATAGGTATTAAAGGGTTTACTAAGGACTATAATTTGAAAAGATTTTCTCTTTGCCACTGGAATCTTTTCCCTAAGATTTGTACCTAATCCCTGAAGAAACATTTTATACTAAATTAGGAAAGCTTTAAGATAGTGAGGCTTTGGGATTTGTGATTGTATTACCATAAATGAATATATTTAATGTTATGATTTTTTTTTTTTTTACTGCAGACTTTATTTACTACATTTATTTTTTAAAGTCTTCACTTGGGCTTTTACATTAAGTACATTTTCCTGAAACTGTTACAGGAAGAAAGTCCTAATCTTTTCCCAGCAGCTTTATTATGTCCTGATTATCAAATTTAAATTGTTTTAGTGGAAGGAGGCAAAACCAGAAGATCTTATGGATTCAAAACTTAGATGTGTGTTTGAATTGCCAGCAGAGAATGATAAACCGGTAAGTAGTTTTCTGGAGTTAATGATGGATTAATGTTTTGGGCTGATTCTTGTTCACATACTATGCTCCCCACAAAATTCAGATTTCATTTAGCACATTATTTCCTTCCTCTGGTTGATGTTTAAAGAAATCAAATTGAAGTCAACAAATAAATGAGATTTTATGCAAGTCAGCTTTGGAAACACTTAACTTTTCCTTCTCTCAAGAAACCAGGATTGACAGGATGTGAAGTTATATGTTGAAGTTTAATGGTTGAGAGGTTAAAACAGTGAAAGGAGTTAGTTTGCTGCCTTGACTGGCAGGTTGGTAGGCTGTGAGGGCCTAGTGAATCACAGAGTGAGTGCAGCCTGAAGCTGGTAACCACCGCTCCCCTAGTGTCTTTATCTCAGCCACATTTTTCTGTCCAAATACCTGCTTTTGAGGCTTGAGATAAATTTATGAATTTCAATAGATGATTTTATTTCTTCCACATCAACACATACTTCTAAAAACATCAAAACCAGTTGATCAGAAGTGTTAACCTGATTTCAAGTCCCTTTGCCATCCCAGCTGCCCTACTCTTGCTGTACTCCAGCTTTTCAGAGTCCTCCCTAAAACCTTAAACAGTAATTTAAATGTGCAGGATAGGAAGCATCATGATACAGTGGAAATTACACTAGCATGGGCATCAAAAGACCTGGGTTTTAATCCTGCCCCTGACACTACCTTAACTTGGACAAGTTGTTTAACTTCCCCAGGCCTCTGTTTTCTCATCCATAAAATGAAAGGTTACACTTGATTGCCTCTGAAGTCCCTTTTACCTCTAGACTTCTGATCCTATAATACCACTGGGGAGTAGATGATGGAAGAAGTTAACCTATTTGAAATTATTACTGATTACTATCTAGAGGTAAGGAGCAGATGTTGCTTAACTTTGTTGCGGTAACAGAGTTAAGCCTTTCATCTATACCACCTTCACTCATGGTATTTCAGTGATCTTTTCCTTGAACCAACTCAGAACTTCCTCTTTGCAAGATCATCAGCCTGCTTCTTGGAACTGCTAACAATTATTTATTTTTCATCCTTTCAGTAAGTACACTGGACAGGGAGTTTAGGGGACCTGGATGCTAGTCCTTGACCCTCCCACTAACTAACTAGCTGTTTGACTTTCAGTGTTTCATTTTCTCCTCTGTGAACTTTAGTTTTCCTTCATCTGTAAAAGGAGTTGAAGCTAGATGACCTCCAAGGTCTCTTCCAGCTCTAAAATTCTGTGCTTCAGTAAAATAAATCACCTTGTCTTCAGCCCTGTCCTTCGTCTAATCATTATGGAGACTTTTTCCAGATTTTTTCCCCATAATCACTTATCATCAATTCTTCCTCAGCTTATACATTTATGGCATCCTAATTTTTCTGTAGCAGGAGTTTGATAGTATGATGTACTTTTCCTCCATGCTGTGAAATATTAGTCTCAGCATGATTTCCTTCTCTAGTCTTAACTATAATTTCTTGGGTCCAGTTGCCTGTAAAACAGATATTGAGATACTGACTAGCTAAAATGCTACATTAAATGATCCATTTGATACTTTACCACATGGATGAAATTCTACCATGTGCAATTTTTACTGAGAATTTTGCTCGCCCCCCCAAGTCTTTTAGTCTGACAGTTTTTCTCTTATTTACTTTTGAGCAGCATGATGTAGAAATAAATAAAATTATGTCCACAACGGCAACCAAGACAGAATCTTCTGTTATGTCTAAATCTATAAGTTCTTCTTTGGATGATACTGAAGCTAAGAAAGTAATGGAAGAATGTAAAAGGCTGCAAGTAGAAGTTCAGAGGTTACAGGAGGAAAACAAACAATTTAAGGTAAAAGAGGGTTTTCTGACATTCTCCTAGAGGGTGAGCACAGACCTTCTCTGGCTTTGGAACGTACAGGGAACAGTTGTTCAGTTCAGCCAGTGTTTACTGAATGCCTATGATGGGCAAGCCAGGGGATTGGGGGGGGGGGGGGGGGGGGGGGACGGGACGGGGTTTCAAGATTAAATTAGATGCATTCCCTGTCCTAAAGTCTATTTGAGGGGAGGAGATGTGGGATGAGACAGATAATGGTCATAAAAATTAAAGTCCTCTAAGAAAGGCAGCACAAGCTTTGGAAAGGATGCTGGATTTGGAGCAAATCTCAGTCCTGCCATTTGCTACCAGTGTAACTTTGGGTAAGTCTCTTAACCTCCCTGGGCCTCAGTTTCCTTATATGTACAGTGAGGGGGTTGGATTATCTGACCTCTAAGGTCCTCTCTGGCTCTAAATCTATGATCCTAAATATATATGAGAGATAAAATGCTGGGAGAGCTCACCTGAGAGAGATATCAGGGGGAAGTGTTATTGCCTAGCTGAATGGTAGAGCACACTGTATAGTCAGTATTCAACAATGGTGAAGCCTTTCAGACACAGAAATCTTTCAACCAAGGTTTTGTGAAGGATGTTTCTAATTAAACATCTCAGACTCTGAGTATTGTTGGAGGAATGATGTGGATTTTTATTTTTAAGTCGAAATTTTTAAATCTTATTCAGGATCTCCAGTCATGCAACAGTTTCTGGTTTCGCATATGTTTTCTTTTTTGGCACAGTCTTCTCCATTGGGGACCACACCTTCCATTCATCTCAGGACCAGGAAAAAGGAGTTAGTGTCCTAGTTTTCCTGCCCAGACCACTGTTGTCTTCCCTCTACAGCCCTTCCCTCCATTGACATCCATGCAGTTCATTTATACCATCCTCTTCCCATGTTCATGTTGCTGTCATTGTTATTGGAAGTACCTACTTCCAGGTCCTTTCCTTAGCTTTCATAGTGATTTTATTACCTGATGCATGGTTTTCCTCTCCTCTTTCCCTTACATCATGAATAGCGACTTCATTATCCATGTTGATGTGTCATATTAACACCCAAACTACATGATTCCTCCATGTCCTCAAATCCAACAACCTCCTTCTCCACCCCATGTAATATGCCACAAGTTAGCCTAATCATGTGAGTGTTCTCCAGCTCTCAGAATTGCCCAACTTCAATTCCCACTGTTAGTCCACAACATTCTAGCTTCCAACTTCTTTCTTTCCCTTTCTCTGACTAAAACTGCTGTTGGTCTTCTGTACAGCTTCCAGTCCCTGGACTCTTATTCTCTCTGTGTATCATCCCTGTTCTGGCTTCAGTAGCCTCTAATATCTATACTTGATCACACAATTTGCCTCTTTAATGATTTCAGTTTCCTTAAAACCCTTTGTCCCATTGAACTTTTATTGTTTGTGTCCTGCTGATAATATTTAAACCCAAATAAAACTCACCATGTAGTTTATTTTTTCCTGCTTCCTGACTACTGGACAAAGTTAAAAAATTGAGCTCAGACAGCAGCCCCTCTACCACTGTAGTATATTTGTTGCATAACCTCAGCTGGGTTGTCAACTATTGCCATACAGTTCTTAAATTCTGCTTCTCTCAACTACCTGTTTCCTCTCTCTTCAAGCCTCTGACCTCAGCCCTTTCCCACTTAGTTAATGATAGAAGACCTAACCTCTTATTGTACTTCACCAAAAAGATTGAGTCTATCTTAGAAGATTAAGTAATGCCTTAGCAATTCTTCCTTAATTCCTCAAAATATGTCCAAATCATCACCTGTTCTCTGCTTACCTTTTCTTTCAGAGAAAGAAATATTCTTATTCATCACTAAGGCTAATTCCTTTCTCTGAACCTTAGATTCCACATCCCTTAGGTTCTTGGTCAAGCTGTTATCCTCTTTATCTCATGCATCTTCAGTTTCTCCCTTTGTACTGAACCCTTCCCATCTTCCTATAAAAATGGTCAGGTCTCCCCAGTCCTAACAAAAGCTTCCCTTTACCCTTCTATCCTGTCCTATTCTATCACTACCTTCCCCCAAGACCTAAACTTCTTGGAAAAGGTTGCCTATCTATGCTTCCATGTCTGTGCCATCCACTCTGTCATTAGCTCTTTGCAATCTGGCTTCTAGCCCACCACTCTACTGAACCTTTTCTCAATGGTTTCCAAGTCTTTAACTCCATTGACATTTTTCCCCATCATCCTCCTGATCTTATTTGTAGCTTTGACACTATTGACCGTCCGTTGTTTCTTAATACTCTTTCTTGCTTTGCTCTTTCCTTTCTTGAGAAGGTAGCATAGCATAGTGTTAGCTTTGGAGTCAAAAAACATGATTTCAAATTATGTCTTGGACAGTTTACTATCTGGGTGACATTTAAGCCCTCTGAACAGCTGTTTCCTCAGTTGTCTAGTGAGGACAAGTATGCTTTTACTTTGTTCACAGAGTTTTCATGAGGCTCAAGTGAGTTGGGGTGTGTGTGTGTGTGGCATTTTGCAAACTTTAAAGCACTCTACAAATATGAATTCTCTTTCAGAGGTATTTTACATTTTGTTTCTCCTACTTCTTCAACAATTCTTTTTCTAACTTCTCTATTAGTTTCTTTTCCTAACCTCTTAGAGTATGTATTTCCAAATTTCTGCCCATTTCTCCCTTCTCTTGTCTCTTTAAATTCTGTTCCTTGGTAAACTTATCTACTCCTACATGGTTTCCACAAGTGTATCACCACAGATTATTGACTCAGATTTATTTCAGCCCCATATATCCAATTGCCCAGAAGACCTGTCTACCTAAATGTCCCACCAATACATCAAACTCAGCATGTCTAAAACAAAACTTTTTTTTTGTGCCAAAGTACCTCACATGTCCCTCCCTTTCTATTATAACAAATCCCACTCTAACTTGTTTTCTTTAATACTGTCCCTGAACTATGCTGCAATTCTAATCTCCATTCATTCACATTCTCTCTCTGTCTGTCTCTGCCTCTCGCCTCCTTCCCTCTTCCTCCTGCCTCTCTCTCCTCCCTTTCTCTTTCCTCCTCTCCCTCCCTCTTCCCTGTCTCTCTCCTCCTCTCCTTCCCATCTCCTCTGTCCCTCATTCATTCTTCATACCATTGCCAGATCAATCTTTCTTATGCATATAGCTGGTCATGTCACCCCTCTACTCAAATACTTTTATATGGGGTCCCTATTACCTACCAAGTCAATTTGAAACTCCTTAGCCTAGCATGCAAGTTCCTCCATAATCTCGCACCATCCTACTTTTCTAGCCTATTCTTAATATGTTGCAATAGGTAGAGTTTTAAGAATTACAATCAAGAAAACCTGGCTTGGAATCTCACTTCCAATGTTTACTAGCTATGTGACCATAAGCATGTCACTTCCCTTTCCTAAGCTTCCATTTCCTTATCTGTAGAATGGGAATAATAACATCTGTGGTACCTGCCTCACAGGGTTGTTGTGAGGCTTGAGATGATGTATTTGATATGCTTTGAAAATCTGAAAGTATAGTATAAATGTCAGCTGTCAATTGATATTATATTCCCTTTCTTGTACTTTGTGCCTCAGCCAGACTATAACTACCATCCCCTTTACATTGCACAGTTTTCTCACCTTTATCTTTGCTTACACAGCCCTTATGCCTACAATACTGCAGCTCACTCCATTCTTCTCCCCAACTCAATTCATACCCATCCTTTAAAACAATTTCAATTCTGCTTCCTACAGGAAGCCATCCCTGATATTTCCTCCCAAACTTAGTAGTGACCTCCACTCACATAGAACTTTGTTTTTACAGCTATACAACACGTATTATTCTTTTAAATTATTGATGTTTATGTGTATATTATTCCTCAGAGATAACTGTAAGTTCTGTGAATGCACAGATCTCTTTTCTTTGCTTCTCTCTGCACACAGGCACAGGAACAATATTAGACTCTTCAACTCCTACCCCTTTCTGCTGGATGTAGTACAGTTCTGTCCATCCCAGAGCTGCTTGGGGAATCCATTGGGATTAAACTTTCCTTCTCATTCATTCACATTGCTTAGATTTAGGCACATTGACTCCTGAGAAAATGTCATCTGTCATCAGCTTCCTTCTCTGCAGCAGTTGTAATTTATAAGCACAAATAACTTATTAGAAAAGGATATTTTGAATGTGAAGCTTAAGGGTTTGTGGGATATTTTTTAGTTTTGCCTCCCCTCCCAAAATTAAAAAAAAAAAGGAGATATATGTGTGTGTGTGTGTGTGTGTATACACACATACATATATATATATATATATATATATTACACATACCTCCCTTTTCTTTTAGTGTATTCCTCCTCAGAAATGGATTTTTCTACTTTTTGAGTGACAAGTAGAAATAGCCTCTACACAAAGTAAATAAAATGTATTCTTTATCATGCTGGATTTTGAAGTTAACGACATAACAGTGATTTAATTGTGCTGCAGTCTGATTAGCCAATAGGTGATAGGGAGTCATTGAAGAGTGAAGGGAGATTTTTCCTCCCACTTAATTCTTGCACTGTTGGATTTCTTATATCTCCTCTCACAGGGAATAGTGTGTCTGCATGTGTGTATGGGGGTGGAGAGCAGTTTAGGAGTTTGAGATAAAAATCATATTTGAGGTTATATTAAAAAATGCAACTTTTTTTTTTTTCATTTAATTCACCTCTTTGTGAATCAACAAGTATTGTTGCTTTCAGCTATTTCTGTATTAGAAAATTTCCAGGGCTTCTAACCTCCAGGTTTCTTATTGTACTTCTGCCTTCAGAGCTAGCAGGTTATCATTGAAACAGAGGCTATTAGAGCTAAAAGGGTATTAAAGGTATCTAGTCACTCCTTCCATTCTACCAAGGCAGAAATTGAGGCCCAGAGAAAAGGTTGGAAATATGAATTATGTATGGAGAAGTAAACCAGGCATCATGACTGACAATATATTTCTGTGTTATAGGATCATAGATTTAGAGCTAATTGGAATCTTAGAAACCAACTTCTTCATTTTACAGATGAGATAGAGATGAAGTTACTTGCCCAAGGTCACACATGGAATAAGAGACAGAAGTGGGATTTGAATCCAAGCCCTCTGAATTCAAAGCCAGTGCTTTTCCCACTCTGTCACACTGTGGCATAATGAAGCATTAACTTTGGGAGTCAGAAGACCTGGCTTCTCTTTGTAACTGCTCCACTAGCTGTGTGATTGTATAACTTTTCGTGGCCTCAGTTTCCTACCTCTTTTCGGTGAGGAAGCTGGCCTAGATCAAGGGTCAGCCAGCTATGGCTTAGCTGGCACAGAGCTAAGAATAGTTTATAGATTTTATTTAATACAATAAAACTTTATTTAAAAATGTAAAAAAAAAATTCTTAACTCATGGGCCTTAACATCTGCAATGCACCCTGGACCAGATGTTAGCTAAGGTTCCTTCCAGCACTTAACTCTATCATCCCACAAATAGTTGTAGCATTAATACTGACGTAATGTTCTTTGTCATGATTGGCTGTGTCCTGTCGCAGGGATAGTGAGTGGTAAATCTGTTATTGGGAGGTGAAGCCAGTCAATCCATAACCATATAGTCAGCAGAAACAACCAACTCTTATTTCTAGCACATTGGGTTTTTTTGGTAAATGTGGATTTGTTTGGACAGGAAGAAGATGGGCTACGGATGAGGAAGACACTGCAGAGTAACAGCCCGGCTTCCACCTCAGCCACCGTTGTGAAGGAAGACGGGCTTAGTACCCGACTTCTGGCTCTGGTCGTTTTGTTCTTCATCGTTGGTGTAATTATAGGGAAAATCGCCTTATAGAGGCAGCATGCAAAGGCTGGTAAATCGGATTGATGGATCTGCCATATCATGGGATTTAAACTTATTCATAACAAAGAAATTAATGTATGACATCTCACAGGTCTTGCCTTTAAATTACCCCTCCCTCCCCCTGCACAAATAGAACATAACATAATCTAGAAAGTTTGAAATGTACAGTGAGTAATCGGGGCAAAAACCAAATGCAAAAAGAATGATCTTTACTAAATGAAAAGGAAAATCATAGTTAATACCCAGATGATAAGTTGTAAATGCAATTTTAAACATTTTTAGACCTTGGTACATGTTGCTGGATTACCTCTTTTAAAATGAGAAACTGGTTCCTTAACTGCTAGAGCTCCCCCCTTCTGATAGTGGGAACCAGAGCTAAGCAGGAAGGGGCAGGAATCTCTGTAAAATGTATTAATCCACCATACATACTGCTCATAAACTTAAGAGTTTGTCCATGTCTTCAGTTCTGTGCAAGTTACCAATTATTTTTTGGGAACTTAAGTGAATCGAGTCAGAAGCTGAAAAGAATTAAGTGACAGCCTTGAATGTGCTAGTCACCAATATGAGGCATATATCAATTAATGGTACACAACATTTTAGGAGAAAGGTCGTTGCCTTGTTCTCTTAAAGGGACCAAGCTAAACTGCTGTTGGTTCATTTAGTTGAATTAAACTGTTACTCAGAGATGTTTAATGCCTATTTAACTTATTTAATGTATTTCATCTCATGTTTCCTTATTGTTACAAGGTTATGACTAATGCTATGGCATAGAAATCACTGCTCTAAGGCTGGTGGGTTGACCTGTCATTGCTGCTGGAGAGAGCTGTGGGATCCTTCTGTCTCCTACTGTTTTTTGGGGGGGGGGGGCCACTACATAAATGGACTCTTGATTTATTTGAACATTGGAAAACAACGGTCAGGAAATGTTTTTCTGTGTAAATAAATAACATCTATCTTGGGGAAGGGAGGGAAATTATACCAGTAGTAATAATAGTCAACTCTTGATTACCCTGCTGATGGAGGGGGGTAGCCATAGTGCAGATAACCTTTAAAAAAATGTCATTTTAATGTCACTCTTGAATTTATCCTATTTCACCTTTCCTCACTGTGCTTGGCTTCAGTCCCTCACTCTCTCTCCCCCCCCCCACCCCCAGTTTGGCCCGTAATTGGAGTAGCAGCATGGAAAGTTATCCCAGTAGTATGGAGGGGACAGTATTCTAGAAGTAGCTAGGGGAGATAGTCCTGGAGCCAACTGGGAAGCAGGAGAGAGAAGACCCACCCCAAATGAGGGTCTGGTAATCAGGGGAAACCTTCCCCCACAAAGCAGATAATTGAGAGTTGACTGTAAATTAGTTCTATGCCGTAAATGACCAATCCTGTTGAACTATGTAGCATCTTTAAAAGAAAAAAAAATTAAATAAAGCCCCAAAATGAAGATTTCTTTTGTTATTTTGTCACATATATGCAAGAGAAAAGCTAATTAAAAATGACAGGCACTATCTGTTTGTGTTTCATAATGCTTCTAATTTAGCAATGTCTTTTTAGATCCTTTTGGTCTTGACTGAAAGGCCTACGTATGAAACTGCTAAAATTTTAAGTGGCCAATTGCTTGTTAAAGATGGGAATCTTTAAGGGCTGTTGCCCCTATTCAGATCTAGAATTTTTTCAATTACTGTATTTCCAGAGAAGGAAACCTTAGATCTTAAGTGAAACAGCTGAAATAACTAAGAAGTGAAATTAGGCTCTGTTAACTGATCATGGACTGGACTGTGTGTGAATTTAGCTGTTAGGAAAGAAGATGAGAAGAGTAAAGATGGACTCGTTCAACTAAGAAACTTAAATGACCCAAGTATTTTAGGTGCTTCCCAGAACAGGATCTTCCTTGAAGGCAGGGTACCAGTTCAGCAAGCCACTCCAAACTAGGGTCCCCATAAGCTCCCTCATTGTGCACCAAGAGCCCCTGTGGTGAACAGAGCTGTAAACTTGAACGTGTCAACCTACAGGTCTCTTTGTTTAATCTGGCCTTCAGCTGTTGGCTATTGAAGGAAGAATCAAGTACTAAAATACAGGGTGTCTCAAAGCCTTAGTGAAGTTTTAGGTTTAAATAGATTAATGAAGTTTCAAGTTGAAATACCTTAAAACTTCACTAAAACTTTTGGGACACCCTGTAATGATGTGAATGCCCAAAGCATCTGTGAATTGGATTAAACAAAGTAAAACATATCCATAATAGTTGTTAAAATTTGTGTGTGTGTGTGTGTGTGTATGTGTTTTCACAACTTCTAGGTAGGGCCTCATACAACTAAGACAAGAATATATTTCTTGAGTTGGGATTTTAAGATTCTCTTGGCCCTTTGTCATACCCCCTTTTTTCTGCCTAAACTTTAAGAAAGGCAGTACTATCCCAATAAACTTATAAGGAAGATGGTGAATGAGGTTTTATTTGGGGGGAATAGGTGGTAAAAGTCACTGAGTTCCAGAGTTTCTAAAATTCCAACCTATCTATGGAGAATTTGCCCCCATTTTGTAGCAGACTGTGTTTTAATTAAAATTTAAATACAAAAATGTCAATTCCTTCTCCTGTCAGCCTATGAACACTTTTCTCTTATTTGTTGGCTAGGGTTCTATTCTGTGATTGTATTTGTGAGTTGAGGGAGAAGTTGGTTTTCTATCATTTATTATCATACAGAGTATAAAATTCAGGGCCTTAGGGCAGCCAAAGACCATGCCAGAGAAAGGCATAATAAGCATCCACGAGCATCAGTGTTTGTGGTATCTTATCAGCCCTTATGGGTGTGGGAAAGGAGAGAGGTGATTTTGACAAGGGCTAGTTCCAAACAGTGAAGGGAGAAGTGAAGACATTAAAATAAAGCTAGGAGTGGAAGAGAAGGACCAGTGAGCCAGGATAACCCCCAGTGAGTGTGATGATTTAGAAATGAGGAGGTAAGAGATGGGAGGGATAGGATTATCTTCTGCTCTTAAATTACAAACCACTACTCAGGTCTCTGCCCTTGCCCTCTAAATCCAGCCCCCAGTGAAGGCCATCTCAATAAAGAGCATGCAGGAAACCATAAGCAGTCATCAGGTTTCATAAAATTTTATCAAGCATATTTTTAAATTGAGAATTTAAGCTCCCTTGGAACCTCAGCCATGGGAATTATAGTGGCTGTGTATTCCCACATAAGATTTGCATCCTAAATGCAGTGGTTTTTTTTGTTGTTTTTTTTTTTAAGCAACCCATCATCATTTATATCCCCCTGTACTTCACATATGGTAGATTCCTAGTAAATATTTTTAAAATTGAAGTGTTAGGCCAAAGTCACCTTTAATGATTCTTTCTGACCTGCATGTTTTTTTTTTCTCCCTGATCTATGAAATTGCTTGCATAGACAGTAATGAGTACTGATAAACATCACAGTAGATTTTACTGGTTGACAGTTGATACCTTCAGAGAGAGGCTCATACCTACAGAAAAGAAGGGGAGGGGAATGAAAAACCTCCAGCAATCCATGAAAACCAAAATGTTTTCGAATAAATAGCAAGAACAGAATTGCCCTCTAAAGGCCAAAGGCAGCAGAGCAAAAGTGTTGGCTGTTAATGGCACCCACCTGAATGCAGTGGTCACTCAAAGCTAATTCACTTTCAAGTGAACTTGGGAACAAGCTGTGGCACAAGGATAAATTGTAAACATTTGGCAATATGTTAAGGAACACCTAGCCTGTGGGAACCTAGATTGTAACACGTCACTAACTTCAATCAACAAACTGTCACAGGAAAGATTTAACTGATATCTGCTTGATTTCTAATGCAATAATTCTGTCCACTACACTACACCCTGCATTGTAACATATGTACCATTTTCAATAGTTTGACATTTTTCAAAATGGTGACTAGTTTTGGGCACATAGAAACCCTCCCATTTGTCCATTCAGTGTGGGATAAATGTCTACCATAACATTTAATCATTTAATTATCATTTACCTATTGAATTAATGTTTATTAAATTATCTCTTAATTCCAGGGTCTCTTCTGAAAGTTGGCCTACATAATTGTTGTTCTTGCTTTGTTTTTAAAATCTTGTTTGTGAATTGCTTGGTTTAAAAAGTAAAAATAGGTGTGTGCCCTGCAAGGAAAATTTGAGCCCTTTCCCTAATACTTGATCTTACGGCCCAGTGAAAGGAAGCTATCGCTTGCACATGCTGGAGACAGAAAACTCTTGGTGGGTATCTAGCTGCTGAGATTTTGTGTACTGAAAATATGAAATTTAAACCTGGATCATCTATTCTGTTTCCTCACTTTACAAAATGAGGAAACATGAGTCTCCCAGTGAGGGTAAGGAACTTGCCTAAGGATATATGTACAGTAGCAGTGAAGCCAGAATTTTCCTATCCACCTCCTCAGACTCCAAACCTAGTGGTTTTTCCACTACATAGCACTGCCCTATGTCTCTCACTCAGGCCAGGATGTTGATCAGCCTCTCAGGGCTAAAGAAAGAATAATGGAAAAGATTTTGAATGACAGAACCTTGCAGTTATGATAACTGTTGTAAAGACTTTGTTTCCTAAGATTACCAGGAATGGAGCTGTATTGAGAGAGTCTTTGTTCTTTCCACCTGAATCGGATAAGATCTGCAATTACTTTTCAGATTTTAAAAGCATATTCTCCGAATACCTGATTTTTGTTTCCCTCAGAGTTCATATGAGCCTGATTAGATTTGGAAGGAGGGGGAAGGCCTTTTATTTTTCTTTAAAAAGAACCCCTACTTTATTATTTACTAAGAATTAAAATAATATTCCTATAATTAAATTAAACCTGAAATGTAAGTTCTACAAATTTGTCTTCAAAATCCATAAAAGAAACAAAGTTGAAAAATCCAGGGGTTGTGAACCTGTGAATAAAGTAGGGTATTATTGTTTAGTAGCTATTAGGAGTAGGACTTTGTCTAAATTTCCTTTGTATGCAGTGTTAGAGATGCTTGTACTTCATACTTTTCTGTTTCTGGGACAGATGTACAGAGTTATAAGGGCATGAGCATCAGTGCGGGCTTTTATATTGATCAGTTGTTTCTCTTCATCTTAGATTTGGTTATTTTTCATATAAATGAAATAGAGTCAGAAATACAATTCAAAAGCCTTCCTCGTCAGAAGTAGAATGATAGAATTATGCTGTCTAAACTAAACTTTCTCTGTATCTGAAAGCCTTCAGGACTCCTTGGGATTGAATTTGGAAGTCTTTTATGAAGAAAATTACCAATTTGGCTCAGTACAGTGACTTAAGCTGCCTTGTAGATAGGCTAGCACTCACACACACACTCTAACTTGAATGTGAAGTTATAGCCATTCATGAAAATGCATATTTTTAGACCTTTTGCTGTTAGCATCACTTACCAAAGTGGCAGCACAGAAGCCTCGGATTTTGTGTCAAAATGCAGCTATGATTATGGGTGTTTTATACCTCTCCCCAAATTGACACTGCATTTCTAGGAGAGACAGTGATGGAGCTAGATATATGGTGAGCTTGATAGTGGGAAAATGCGGGTGGGGGGAGGCAGATATCAACTAAGGAGGTCGATTGGGTATCTATGAGAAACAGATCTAGCATTACATTTTTTATTTTTTTTTTAGGCAATTTGGGTTAAGTGACTTGCCCAGGGTCACACAGCTAGTAAGTGTCAAGTGTTTGGTCTGAGGCCGGATTTGAACTCAGATACTCCTGACTTAAGGGCCAGTGCTCTATCCACTGTGCCACCTAGCTGCCCCCCATTACATTTTTTAAATGTCCACCCATTAACACCTTACCCATGTGTTTCCGCTCTCAGTAATATTAGAAAAAAATATAGAACTGTCTACATTTTTTCAGATGATAGTAGCTTTTTCAACTTTGTTTCTTTTATGGATTTTGAAGACAAATCTGTAGAACTTATGTTTTGGGTTTAGTTTACTCTCATTACGGGGATATTATTTTAATTCTTGATTTATTATAATAGTTCATTATAGAATCAGGTTCACATATGAGCAGTTTAATTAATTTGGACTTTTTTTTTTTAGTAAAACCAATTTATTAGAAAATGTTTGCATTACTTCTATATTTAGGCACTTTGGGAAAACAAAAATATATAGCTATTGTCTAACCTGCCATAAATGTTTGCAATTATAATCCCTGGAATGTTTTCATGGTAGACAATGCCCTGATTAAAACGTGATGGTGGAATAAAATGGCACCCAGAATAATAATCTGTTGCTGCTAGACAAGTGCTGCCATTTTTTAAAACCAGGAAACAGTGATACTGTGACAATGTCTTACTGCAGTTGCTTTATTATACCAAAGGGTTGATATATATTTAATCATTGCCTAATGGATGTTGGTGTTGGACTGATGTTATCATTAGCTCAAACCCTGCTTTGGTTATTGACAAGCATTCTGACTAGGGAGCAGGCCAACACCTATGTTGATCTCCTTCTAGGCCAAAAGCATGGGTCTTGGAGAAAACTCGGAGCATGCTGTTTCTCACCGAAAGGAAACAAAATTTCCATGGTGTTTCCTTTCAACTATCATCTGTACGGATAGGCAAGGCAGAGAGAGATATAACTATTACTTATTCATAATTAATATGGCTTGTTACTTAATAAAGTGATAAATTGCTGTGCATGTTTCGTATACCAACCCTAGTTTCTTTTGTTGTTGTTTAACTGCCTGCATTTTTAGGGCGTTGTTTTTGGAAGTAAATTAAATTCAGCTGTTACTCCTCTGGAATTCAACATCTCCACCCTACTCTGCCCCTATCATGGGGCAGGGGGGAGGGAGTGTGTTGTTTGACTGATCCCAGTCAGAATTTGCTTGCCAATAATACTGAGACCATTAGTACAGGGGCTGCTTCTTTCCAAAGCACTATCAGACTTTTCATAAATAAGTCTTAATGAGCCTCAAGTGTGTATTTGCAGTGTTCATGTACAGATACTAGAAGAGAGAATACATGTTCTCATTCCTGTTGCTGGCATTTTGCCTTTATATGTTATAGGAACTCTTATCCATAAATGAGAGGCAGTGTGGTGCAGTGGAAAGAGTGATTGGATTGGGAATCAGAAGACTTGGATTCAAATCCCAACTCTGTTACTATGTGACCTTGAACAAGTCCCTTACTTAACCTCTCTGGCCCTCAGTTGGCTCACCTATAAACAGGGAGTGGGACTAAATCACCTCTGAGATTCTTCCCAGCCCTTCATCTAGGATCTGATGTTACTGCTTGAAACATCCTACCAGAAACCCAAAAGGATCTGTTGAAATGCTCTTCCCCCTTTTTAAGTGACTGAAGAGATTTTCTAAAATTCAGATTAGTCTCTGGCGTGCTTTCCACACTTCCTCCTCTTGATAATTCCTACAGTTCTTAATGTGTATTTGATTCTAATTTCTAGTAGTGAGATTCTATCTGTACCTTTATTAAACAGATGTAGTAAAAAAAAAAACAAAAAAAAACTTCATTCCATTTTTCCTGTGTATTAAAGTTATATTTTCTGTTTTGGCATAATTAATTTTAAAAGCTGATGCAGGGAGAACACTTCCCATTGTGTATTTTTGTTTTCTGACATGTAATAAGTTTATATAGTTATATAGTAATTATACACTCCTGAGGAGAAGGCTGACTACTGCTTCTATAATTTAAACAAGTTCTTTGCATCATGTATTCACATGATCTGTATCAGTCAGGCAGCACATGCCAGGCCAAAGTGTCTGCTTTTGTATTATTTGGCTTAGTGTTATGTTTAATAAATTCTGTGCTCTGGACATATTTAATGGAAGTTTCATTGTACATTTCATTTTGAATGGGTAATTTAAGGAGGATTAAGCCACAAGATTCCATTTCTTCTTCTGCATCTGATGTGTGATGTTGTTTTGAATTGGAATCACAGAATGAGAGTGGAAAGAAGCCTCAAACTGACTCTAGTCCAGCCCCTTCATTTCTCAGAGGAAGAAGCTGATGCCCAGAGAATTGGAATGGCTCACCCCAGATCACACAGCAAGTTAGGGCAGGGCTAGGATTCAAGCTCCTCTCTTTTGACTCTGTCTAGTGTTCTTCCCACTGGAAAAAATATTCTCTTGAAAATAAATCATTTCCAGGCATCAAAAGTGGAGGATCTTTATCTGTAATTCCACATCTCATGCTGGCACCTTGTAAGAGCAGTGATTTTTATGAAAGAGATTAGCAAATCAATGGGAATAAAGATTTATACAGCAAATTGTTGCTGATGAAATGAATAATCATTATCCCAAGAGTGTATTTTAGAAATGAGTGTAAATTGGTTCAAGACGCAGCATCTTCTGGGTTTTTTGTATTATTCATAGAGGAAAAGCAGCCACAGTAAAGCATATTTATTGGAAAGATAGAGGTAAACTGGAGGAGGGTGGGATGGGAAACGCTAGGCTAGTGTCTATTCTATAGAGTAAAAACAAGAAAAAAGGAAAAAAAGTTTGAATTCATTGAGCCAGTGTTAATAGCTATGCACATTAGACAACTTGATGCTACATCTAGTGATACTCTCAGAACTGCATAAACCTAAGTTAAGATGCACTTAGTCCCTAACTCATGCTGAGGAAAAGAGAGCTTTTCTTTTACCTAGTGCCTGTTTTCTTAGTCATGTTTGATCTCTTAAAAAATACTTCCAGAAAGGGAGGAATAGAAAAATGTGTGGAAATAAAATGCCCTCTATGCTTAGGGGACAGGAGTGGGAGGTGTAGGACTGCCATCAAGCTACTTCTGCCTGGCTATGTTTCTTGCTCGTGCCACAAACATTAAATGCCCATGTGCACACTTGGGCAACCATTCTCTGCCCTCAAGACCTTCCATTTTTAAAAGGTTTGCAAGAGTTGGTTGAAATCTGAGATTGAGCCCAGAAAATCCATTTTGTCACGATGCTGACTCTGCTGCTGGCTTGAAGCCTTAGAATATTTGCAATTTTAAATTACAGAAATCTTCAGGGAGTGTACATGGGGGTAATGGATGTGGAAACCCTTAGTTCCTTGCTTCCAGAGCATAACTCCGGAAATGTGAGATTTTGTCATGCTGTCATCTTTTTTTGCTTTAACCCTTGGGAGTTTTTTTTTTTTTAATAAAAGCCCCTCTCCTAACAATGAGTCTCCAGAAAGGCCCACCAACCCTTCTTCCAGCCTCCTGACAAAACGAAAAAGGACCTACAAGTCTTAAGAGTTCTGGACAACAGCATTTATGATTCTGCTTTTAGGGGAAATGGATTCATCATGCAGAAACTGTCATCCCAGATCACAAGTCTTCATAATCTGAAGCCTAAGAGTAGGTTCCTTTTTCTGATCTATTTCCGTCCTGTTTTATTGAGTAGATAACTCTAACTTGCCTTAAAATCATAAGCATGAGGGCAAAGGAGTATTTAATGGAGGGAGAAGGAATATCAGTGTCATAGCGAGGAGGGTAGACTGTTGGCAGCCCCAAAGATAAAAATATCACCGGAAAAAAGCCTCACCATTAGAAGTCTTAATAGTTTTATAGCCATTCCTTTCCAAATAGATCATTAAATCCTTTCAGGTCGATCTCCTAATCTCTTAGTCATCTGGGCAAAGAGCCATATGATGTCATACTTGGAAGGACCCTTCAGGGATCACCCACGTCACCCTCATTTAACAGATAAGGAAACTGAGACCCTGAAACCAAAGACGAAAAATTTTAGGTAAATAAGTTGACAGGGTGGTTTCCCTATCCCTATCCCTACCCATATAGGAAGCTATATTAAAACTGGAGGCAGCAATATGTCAAGTGTAAGAAAAAGTTTTGCCAGACTCTGTAACCTGCTATTCATAGATGGCAGCTGTCTCTAACTTGCAGCACTCCCTGCTTTGGATAGTTCGACTGCTGGAAAGTAAGCATCCTCTAGCTCTCCTTACTTAGAGTATGCCAGTCACTCCACAGCCACCCAATATGATGTTCAAACTACATAGTTGTGCTTCTCTGGGTGTGAATTCAGAGCTCTCGGGCTTGGGCTCCCAGCTTAGCCTGACTTAGAAGCTAAGCAACCTGAGAGGTAGTGTATGAATAATGGAAGGCCAGCATTATTTCCTCCAGCCTTGCAGTTGTATGGGGCTCTTTTTGGGCCCTCTTTGCATGTGTCAGACTGTTAGATCTCATGGCCACTTGAGGTCATTAAAGATTACTGTGATGCACTAAAAAATGAGACAAAATGCCCATACTTTTTATTTCACTCAGAAGTACCTACCTCATTTCCCCTCCTAGAGCCTCATCTAGCCCTAAGGTATACTTTACTTCCCTTCAGTGTTCTTCAGACAGCTACGACCTCATTCCCCCTCCCCCATTCAACCCTTCCCATTCCGTAAATATCTACATTACCAGAAGTTGGTGATCCAGTTAATCAACAAGTATGCATTGCACTGTTGGACACTTGTCTCCAGCAGCACCAATGTGAGATTAAACACATCCTTAGAAAAACCAGGAAAACAGACAGGCATAATGGCCCATACCTGTGGTCCTTGCTGCTAGGAAGGCTAAGGCTGGTGGATTTCTTGAGTTGGGGATCTCCGAGCTACGGTAGGGCTAACGCCAATCAGATGTCAACAGTAAGTCTGACACAAATATGGTGGGCTCCCAGGAGTGGAGAACTACCAGGCTGCCTAAGGAGGAACAAACTGGCCCAGGTTGGAAAAGTAGAGCAAGTTAAAGCTTCCGTGGCAAGTCATATTGGAATCAGTCCTATGGTAGCTGTTGCATTTCCTGCCTGGGCAAGGTAGAGAGAGACAGTCTCAAAATAATAATAATAATTTGGATAATTAGTATCTATTTCAATGGGACTTGAATAGCTGTACTTTTTTTTAATTCTAAAAGTTCTAACATAGTAGGAGCGTATGATATGTAGTTATACCAACATCAAATCTTTTGTAAATAGGACAAAACATACTAATGCACTATCATATTTTAAGAATCTAGTGCTCTTTAATTCTCTCTACCAGCACCCAAGGATGTTTCAAGGGTCTCATGCAGATTTGTGGGGTGCGTCATGAGCCAAAGTTTGCTACAGGAGTTTGCAGGGTAGGTCAAGGACAGCCCCAGCTTTGATATCCCATCTGATATCTTCAACAAACTGAAGCCCTACAGGTAGCAAATGGGACACAATAATCATTTTTTCATAGAACATTCACACCTATACACTCAACTTCAACTCTAGAAATGTTGCCAAAAGAATGTAAAAGCCTGAGCCTGGAATGATAATTTCCATTGACCAAAAGAAAAACAGTATATTTTTTCCCTTTCTAGTGATAATAACTGATCAGGCAAAGAAAAACATTTGATATATTGGCCCTGAAATCAGAATCCTTAAGTTCTGAGTAAAGAAATGGAGAAACACTGAGGTCTACTTGTAAGGGGATGAATATTCCCTTTAATGTGCACTTTGTAATTTAATGTAGTTATGTGTTCTGTTTTAAGCTTCTTCCCAAATACTTCTGGGTCCAGTGTGCAGCAAGAGGATGTATATATGAAGAAATCTTAGCTACCATAGGTACTCGAAGTTAGAACACAAGCCCTTACACTTGTCAATCTGTAATAACCACAGGGAACACCATTCAGTTGGTATGTTTGTTTATGAAAAAGATTTTTAAGTTTAAATTTTAATGTGATTAAAAATTGTAATGTGATTAATGTGCAAATGTGATTCATTTGCACCACACATAGGTGAACTGGTTAGTGGAAATGGCATCCCCTGAAACCTCTACCCCCCTCCAAAGCCCCACAACTTTATACATTTGGTTTAAAACCATAAATAATCTTGTAACTGTAGCTCTGTAAATATGCCTTCTGAAAGCCCTTTTTAGTTTGAGACTTGCAAAGATTAACTTTTCTTAAAAACAAGAATGCTTAGAGAAGTCAGATGGGGCTTTCTCAAGCAGATGCCAGTTGAACAAAATAAGTGGGCTGGGATGATGAATTCTAAAGCACTTGTTTTATAGGTAATAGGTCTGTCATATCATCCAGAGCTGGAAAGGACTTTAGAAATCATTTAAAAACCCTCTCATTTTACAGATGAGGAAACCAGACCAGCAAAGGAAAGGGATTTCGTTGTCCAAGTTCACAAAGTCACTTGTAAGACCTGGATTTGAATCTTAAAATATATAATGTGAGTGATGCAAGTGGGATGGAGTAAGAAAGGAGGAGATCATTAAAATGTTTCTCAAGACCTCTGAGTTCACCATACCGGAGGAATTTTTAGCAGTATGAAAATGATACTATAGTACTATTTCCACCCCCCATCCCCAATTATAGTCCACTGTTAACTGTACCACATAAGTAAATTCACACTTCAGGTTGTTGACTGAGAGGTTATAGGCCTTAAACGGAACCTTAACAATTGGATTCAAAGATTAAGTCCGTACGATGTGCAAGATGTTGTGGAGACAAAGATAAAAAACAACCTTAAGGATCATATAATCCAAGGGTCATTGGCCTGGAGTCTATGGGCTTTTAAAAATATTTAATAATTTTAATGTAATTGGTTTCCTTTTTAATTCTATGCATTTTGTGTTATGCACTTAAAAACATCTTTCTGAGAAGGATTCCATGACACACAGTAAAGGTCAAGAAGTCCCAAAATAGCCCTTATTCATCTGGGGTACTGGCTATAAATAACTAAAGAATAAAAGAACAAAATGCATTTTCTAGATTTGCGCTTACCTATTTGTAAAATAGATCTAAAGAATAATAAAATGGATCAAAAGCCACCCACCCATAAAATATCCGTGACATATTCTCTCTTATTAGTATTTATAGAATTGGGAATTTTCTGATGAAGAAAGAAAAACTATATATGCTGTAAATCCAGATGAATTCTTTGACTATCCAGTGGCTAAAAATGCCAAAGGAAATTCAAACAAGAGCTAACAGTAAACTTGCTTCTGTGTGATCTGGAAGTGGTGGTGTAGGGGTTAACCTGCTTCTCAGACATCTTTGAGTCCCTTAGTTTTGGATGAGACCAAAGGAAGAACTCTTTAGATAGAACCCTACCTCATAAACAGGTCCTGGAAGGCTGGATTTCTAGGCTGAAAATTCTGATCTGGAGAAGCACAGAAATTCCAGCAGTTAGCACTTTGGGAGGCTGAGGTTGCCTCTGAATACAGGCCACTGAAAGCTCAAGGCAGCATGAATAAAAATTCATGTCATCAGCTTTAGTATGAACTGCTGAGTTGAATCAGCATTACTCAGTAACTTGGAGGTGGATATTTGCATGCCACAGTCTAGTCTCAAGAATACTACCCTCCCTCTGTCCATGTCTAAGCATATACAGAGTCTCAGGGATTAGAAAAGAAGGTGCTGATCTTGGAAATGTGCCTGGAGGGATGTCTCAAATTCTGGAGGGAATTCCCTCCTACTTTGGGAGCCAACAATTTGATCAATTTAAGTCCCACCTTAAAAATGACAGGGCTATGATCAGAAGTAGGCTTCCCATAGAGTATACTTTTGATGATCTGTTCCTGCTACTCCTATATTTTTCTGGCTGATGACTGTGATGAAGTTGTCTTGAAAAGCCACCGGATGCTCCAGCACATTGGACCAGAGGGTCCTGATAGGAAGTGGGACGCTTCTCTGGGATATCTGGGTTTGAGCCATCTGTGGGCCTCTCTCCAATAAACAGCAGGCTTTGGCCTTTTATGTCTTGTTCAATCTTAAAGAGTTCAAACTCCACATGAGGGAGCTTGATGCCTAGTGGCAAGCACCCATTGGTTGGTGTGACATCCTGCTCAATTCCAAGAGACCAGGACCCTGCATCCCCACAGCTCCCTGGGTGTGAGAAGTTCAGCATCGCCACAGTGACCTGATCCATTGGTGTCACACGGGCCTGGGTGACTTTGAATGTTAGCTCCGTGCCACCTCTGACCTTGGTAGATAGGGTGCCCTTGTTGTAATACCCAAAGGCATACACAGTGAATGTGGGCTGTCGGCAGGCAGGGTCAGAGTAGTGGTGATAATAGCCTTCCCATGTCCGGTTACTCCCATGGAAAGTGAAGAATCTGGTGAGGAAGAGTACAGCAGGTCGGACCTCACACCTCATGCTGACCCACCTACCACTGAGTCTCAGGGGCAGCACTGCCTTGTGGGGTAGTATTGGGGGATGGTGTTCATCCGAACGGTAGATGATTCCACAAGCTGGGCATGGATGCGAGTGATGCTGGCAAAGGGCAAAAATAAAGGCAGTGAATTTCAGAGAGGAAATAAAAGTGTAGTCAACTTGAGAGGCAAGAAGAATGAGTAGGGTGGGCCACAGCCTACCCATCCCTCCCTCCACTCCCACTCCCGTCCCTGCAAAACTCTTCCCTGGTTTGCCACTGGACAAAAAATTTCACTAGAAATCTATTTTGGGGGGTTATAAATGGATGATTTTTTAAAATCTTTGAGTCTCCTATTAAAATGTCAATATATACCTGAAAAGGATGATACCTCAAGCCAACCATACTAAGGTTTAGGGCCCTTGGCAAAGCTGCAAAATATTTGTGTTTTGTTCTCTAGCCTCCTTTTCTGGAATCCTGTTTTCATAAATGAAAAACAACTTCTCTACTGCTACACATACACACATACTAAAAGAATCAAAGAAGACCCCTGGATGACTCTTTGAATGACACGGACCAGAGTCACATGGGCTTGGGAGGATGGAAGGGCAGTGATCTACACCGATGGAAGGACCCAAGCACCTAAGACCCCCAGTTCCATCTAAGTATAAGTACTAGAGGGTGAAAGAATCAGAAGGAATCACAGAGATAATCTAGTCCATGGGTGGGGAACCTTCGACCTTGAGGCCACTTGTGGCCTTCTAGATCCTTAAGGTACAGCTTTTTGACTGAATCAGTCAAGGCTGCAGGTTCCCCATCCCTCATCTAGCCCAACATCCTTATTTTACAGCTGAGGAAACTGAAGACTAGAGAAGGAAAGTGAATTATGAAAGAAGTAGGGCTAGAACCCAAGTGTCCCCATCCCTTTGTTTTTCTCCTAACACTTACCTCACAGCACTCACCCCACCCCCAGCATCCTCCAAACCAAACTGTAAGAGATAAGCCAATTCTCCAGGATCTTTAATCCCTATTCTACAATTCATTTCCCCCCTTTTAAACTGTTAAGAATTATGAAGGTTTCAAACCAAACATGATGCAGGATAAAGCCGCAGGGATAGCTAGTATTCGTCACATAACTCAGTCAATGGAGACAGAAGGGAGAGCAGAGAAATTGGATTTTATAAGTGAATAACTTGTAGACGTGTCTCTTGTCGAAAGAATGACAGAGAACAGGAAGGTCTATCTAGCTGCTTTGCAATTCTAGAAGGAAACAGGAAGGGGGGGATTTGGTTTGGGAAGGGAAGAGCAGTGTTTGGAAGGCCCAACCAGGAAATCATTGTACAAATTCTCTTTGCCATTAAAAAAAAAAAAAAAAAGTTGAAAACGTTCACCCAGAGTTGCCTGGGAAGCTTGGTATCCAGAAAATTGAAGTCCAGGTGCCAGCTTGAGGGAGAGGGTTAGGGAATGGGAGGGAATCATCTGATTAAAAGCTGGCTTAGTCTTGGCTTTCTTTTTAAGACTTTTGTATATATAGTTACATGATGAATCTAACTTTTCATAGATTTGTACAAGAAAAAAATATACATTTAGCTTGGGAGGTTTACACCCATGGGTTTTGAAAGCTCTTTAAAATATGCCAGTTAATAGTTAGACATGGTTGCAGTAGAAATTAACTCACCCCCATCTGTAGGTAGCTGTAGTGTTACATGTGCTACATCTTGATTACAGTCTGTAATTGAGCCATTTGTGGCTAACATTACAACTTAGGTCACCCTAATATGTAGTGACAGTACATAGTAAGTTAAATATAAATCCCCAGAAGTACACACACACATTATATATACACACATACATACATAATCCTTCACAAGCAGGCAGGAAATTCTTTGATAATGGCTGGTAATTTGGGGCAAGAAGATTTCTTCAGAGCAAATGCAGACGGGATACTGGGGGCCAAGGTAGGGAGGGAAATGACATTTTCTCCTTACATTTAATTTTTTTTAAGAGAAAGAAAATTACCCTGTCTTACTCTGAATGAAGTTCATTTTAGTATTGTCTAGAATTCCACTTGTTCTTAAACAAGGCCCCTATCTGACAAAATTAACATATTGAGTCTGAAGCCAAAGTCTTACTAGATTAAATGGGTTTCATAAAGTAATTTCTGAAACAGCATATGACAGTTTCTGATTAACCCTGACAGGTGACATCATATACTCAGATGTTCTTAGTCCACTGCAGGCTGGTGAATTAGCAGCGTACCCAAGGAGTGGATCTGGGTACCTGATTGCTTTTAAATTAGTTTCTCAGAATGTTTATGTTTACCATCTGGTTTAGTTCACCAGCATCGTTGTGGCCCAGGAAAGCATAATGTAATCACACAATGTGTTACTTAGAGCTCTCTGCCTCTTCCTTCTGTAAAGAATTCCTAGAGTTAATTTTTTTTTCTTCCTCTCTTTTACATTTTTTTTAATGAGTAATATTTTTAATACTCACATCTGGCACCCTTCAAATCCCATTCTCAATCACATCTCAAAATGAATTGGTGGTAGATTTAAATTTTCTGGAAAGGAGTCAAACTGGTTGGTATTGGGGAGTTGTTGGGGGTGGGGCCATAGGGGAGTTGATGGGAGGAAATGGAGAGGATGGAACCCTGCTTAGGGAGAAGAGAAATGGTTGTTCTCCCCGTACTCTCAGCATTTTCCTGTATAACAGCATATCCCTGGATTCACTGCTATTTCCTCTCCCAATACCATTATGGGACAAGATGATAACCTCCCTATGGATGCTTGCTTTCTCTCATCTCTTAGGCGAGGTCAACATTTGCCTCAGACTGCCTCAAAACACAACGTATCCAAAGAGAAGGAATGAATTATTCTCAAGTAACAGAAAAAAGAGGTGTTTTGTTGACCATAAGCATTTTTTTTTCTGTTTTCAATGGGGAGAGTATATATAAATTGCTGGGAGTTCATGCCCATCCATCCTTTCATTCCCAAGCCCTTAGTGAGAGGAGTGTCCCTCCTATCCCATCTGAATCCTTGTCTGCCCTACACATAATTAGGTGCTGATAGATATATTGCTTCTTACTATTATCAAAGAATTTCCTGCCTGCTCACAGAGGAGATAGATAGATAAAGACAGATACAATTTCTGGGATTATTTAAATGTAACATACCATGTACTGTGGAATTAGTATGAGATTTCAGGCCTAGTAGAACCAGAAGGCCAAAGGTACTAGTCCAGCATTGTCATTAACTACTAATGGAACATGGTACAAATCACTTAACTTCCTTGGACCTCACCTCAGTTTCCTTATCTGTAAATAGGAGTTGGGTAACATGAGGTCACATCTTAATTCTTCAAGTCTCCCTGCTTTCTCTAGACACAAATTATTAGCTTATCTTCAGCATAAGTGCATTTCACTTAACTCTGCTCTCAACTAGACATGGATATTACCATCAAACGATTTATTTGGGTGAGAAGAAGAAAGGTTATTGGTATGCTTGGATACTTTAAAAGATTCACCTCCACATCACCATGAGTGTACCCTCTCCCAAGGCAAGATCACAACTTTTCCCCACTTTTAGTAGACAAGCCTTGATGTGGTACTGCAGCCACAAAGAAAAACCATCACTTGTGACCAACCTTCTGAGGAGCCCCTCTGCACTGGCTGGTGCTTAGTCACTTACCTATCCCATACTCAAAGCCTTTTCAGCTTGGCTGCCCTTCCCAGAGCTTCTGCTCCCTTGAAATAGCCTTCTAGAGCCAGAATCACCTCCACCCTACACCTGGGAAATAGCGGAGGTCTTCACCAGAGGATTATTGGCAGATAGACATCTTAAATAAGACTGAATATATGCAGACCTCTGAAAAGGTTGCTGACCCTCATGGTGGTGTAATGACAATTTAGTATTATTACCATGGCACTCTGGAGTGGGCGTTGATACCCAGTGGGTCTGTAGTGAAGCCTTTCTGACCATTCCGTGTGGATGTCACCCAGATATAGCTCCTCCACCACCCTATTGCCTGGCATCTGCTGCAGCTTGTACTGCCTTTCCACTCGGATCAGGCTGAGCTCGTGCATGGCAAAGCCGAGGGCCCTAGTGCAGTCTCTCTCTGCCTTGGCACTCAGGAGTTCATAGACAGTCCCTGGAGTCCAGGACCTCCCAGGGGGGAGTAATTTACTACAGCCTCTGCCTCCTGTCTGATTGATGCGCTCTGCTATCTCCAGAATAGCACTCTGGCTGTGGAAGACGATGCCGACCTTGTGCAGGTGGTAGTTGGCTTCTGTGGCCCCTCGTGTTATCCAGGATGCCTGGCGAAGGCGGAGCTTGCCTTTGATGAGCAGGGAGTACAAGGGTTCCCGGCAGGAAGAGTCCTGGTAATAGAACTGGTATGCTTTAAACAGGCGGTTTGAGTAGAACATGTATGACCTGGTGAGGAACTCTGGCCCTGGACGCACTTCACAGCTATGATGGCATGTAGCATGGAAGAAAGAAATGGAAAGGAACAAGAGAACATCAGAATGACCTAGGCTAGACTCATCATCCACTCTGTCTCTGATGGAAGGATTAAGAATATAGTTAGTTACCCTCCCTAATAATAATAATAATGATAATGACTGACATTTATATAATGCTTTAAAGTTTGCAAAACACATTTCATATATTACTTCGTTTGAACCTCACAAAAACCCTAAGAGGCAGGTGCTGTCTTTTACAGATAAGGAAATTGAGATAGAGACAGGTTTGCCCAGGACCATAGCTCTTGAGGGTCTGAGGTAGGATCTGAATTCTGAGCCCAACATTCTATCCACTTACACTACCTAGTGACCTAACCAACTTCAAAGAGTCAGAGATTTGTCCCAAACATCCTAGTTTACTCAAGTAACCATTATAACAATAATTAATAATAACAATAACTAGTATTTATTCAGCATTTTTAAGGTTTGCAAAACAGTTTACAAATATGATTTAATTTTACCCTCAACAACCCCAGGAGGTAGGTATTATTATTATCCCCATTTTACAGATGAGGAAACTGAGGCAAACTGAGGTTAAGTGACTTGTCCAGGGTCACACAGCTAGTAAGTCGCCGAGGTCGGATTGAAACTCGGGCCTTCCCAACTCCCAGGTCCAGTGCAGCCTTATCGATCTGCTTTCCACAGACTTGTCCAACACCTACGAGTTCCTTCTTCACCATGTGAAGTGAAATTTATCTGTCTATTCCTGTTTTAAGCTTTGATGCAGGCTCCTCAGTTCTAATGTTCTGGGATAGGGTGAACAAGTTCATATTTCTTCTATCTAGATAAGGGATTTTGTTGGTGGGATAAATGCTGGCTCAGGAGTCAGAAGGCTTCAGTTCAGTGGCTTTGCTCTATGCTACCTGTGTGACCTTGTCGAGAAGTCACTTAACCTCTCCCAAATATCAGTCTCCTCATCTGTAAAATGAAAGGGTTGGTCTAGATGACCCCTGGGATTGCCTCCCAGTCTAGATCTACAATCCTCCAAATTATTGAAATTAAGCAGTGGGTCTGAGCCTGCAGTAGAATAATTTAGCATGCCCTGTGGGCCAGGAAGCAACTACAAGGTAACTTCTCCTCTCCCTGTCATTCCCCCTCACCTTCCTTCAGCTTGGGGGGAAGAGAGGGAAGGTGTGTGTGGCAGACACGGAATGTTCATATAGCATTTTTTGCACATGGCTACCCAGGTCCCAGACAGCCCAGTCTGTCCTCCTAGATGTCTCACAAGAAAGAACTTTAGCCTGGTACCTACAGGCTATTCTCTGACCCTGATGATGCAAAGATAAAATTGACCAAGACTACATTGCATATTTGAGAACAAAAAGGTAAAGAATAGGTCCATCTAAGGCTTTAGGGATTGGTGGCCCACTTGAAAGGTTGAAATATCTAACTGCCTACAAAAATCAGATTTTAAGGCAAAGTGGGACGGGGCATAGTTAAAGAAGCCCTGGATGGGGAAATCTCTCTAGAGACAGAGATTTGAGTCCAAGATCTGCCTAAGTAGTCATGTGGCCTTGGGCAAATCGCTGGGCCTGTGTTTCCCCACTCGTAAAATGAAGGGAGTGGACCACATCATTTGGAACTTTCCAGCTCTGGGGCCTGCATGAAAGGGACCAGCAACATGCCCCCAGGACACTAGCTTACTGAGCGAATGTTCCCAGGCAGGGCTCCTCAGGCTTCTGTTTCCCTCTTCCCCTATAAGAACGCAAAGGACAAATAACAGAACAGGGGTTCTTAACTCCTGAAACTTTAAAAAAATGTATTTTGATAACTAGATTTCACAATAATTTATTGTCTTTGTAATCCTAAGTATTTTATTTTATGCATTTAAAAACAATATTTTAAGAAGGGGTCTGTGCTATTTCTGCCCGAGGGGTTCCTGATACAAAAATAATAGAGGCTCTGTACTAGAGGCTCCCTTCCAGTTTTCTAAGCTGTGAATGAAGTCCAGGACCCTCTGGAAAGTCCGACCCTAATTCAAAGAGTTGAGGCCATAGCAAGGGACTGTGTCACTGGAAGCCTGGTGTTGTACCAAATATAGTAGTGAGAATGTAGTATGAATTTTCAGGGCATGAGGTGATTTGAGGGGCAGAGCCCAGCAGGCACCAGGGAGAGCTTGTGATCGCACTGGGCGAGAAGGCATTTTTACCTCGTGGAGATCCAGTGACCCTCCAGCCTTGGAGGTAGCAGCGCAGTAATTCTGGCTCCGTCCTGAAGATGGCGAAGTTGGTACTGACACTGAGATTCCCACTGCAGCCGGCCTGAGCTGTTCCGCTGGCCCTGGAGAGCAGCCCCGTCCCAATGCTGGATTCCAGATGTGCAGGCTTAAAACAAGACAGATGTGTTAGGAGTCACAGTCCTGGTCTCCCCTTCCCATGCAAGTGGGGGGTGGGGGAAGGGGGAGGAGGTTGCCGCGGGGTTTCAACTTGCTTGGTTTGAAACCCGGAAATCTTTTCCAGACACACTCAGATTCAGGCTGAATGTCCCCTATAACTATCAGGTGGCTTCCCCAGCCTGACATAGGATGGACGGGCAGAAAGCATCACATAACACACAGATATCACACAAGAATGAACCATCTGGGTGCTCCCTACTCTGATACAATTCAGAATCCCTCCGTGCCTCAGACTATTTAAGTTTTCTGAGGCCAGAAGAATTTATTACCTGGTGGTTAAGTCTCAGTGAAACTAGGTTTTCAGGGATAGGGATCGACAATCCATCACTGGGTCTATAGGACCTGCTAAATCTTGTGATCTAGTTTCTCCCAATGCATTTGTACATAATAAAAAGATTCCGTTTGTGTTGCTTATTAATCTATGATCTTCATACTTCTCTCTACAATTTTTTTTAACCAGACTTGTGATTTCATTGGTATACAGAATTCCCCTACGAGGAAATTAGAGGAAATTAATTGGCACAGTAAGCAGAGTGCTAAGCCTGGAGTAAGGAAGTTCTGAGTTCAAATCCATCCTTATATACTTACTAGCTGTGTGACCCTGTGCAAATCACTTAACCTCTGTCTGCCTCAGTTTCTTCATCTGTAAAATGGGAGTGATAATAAATAATAGCACCTACCTCACAGGGTTGTTGTGAGGATAAAATGAGTTAATATTTGTAAAGTGCTTATCTAAATGCAAACTATTAGGAAACTCCCTCTGCCAACACAAATGCACATAAACAGTATTCTGCAATTTATAATCTTAGAGCACTTGCCTGGGGACACTGAGAGGTTAAGTCTTGCCCCGGTTCACTCAGCCAATAAGAGGCAGAGCTTGACCCTAGATTTTCCTGACTCAGGCTGGCTCTTTACCACTACACCAAACTGCATTCAAACATGTAAGTATTCCTTTGCACATAATGCCTGAAATTCTCCTAACAGAGAAACCAAAAACTCAAGTTGCAGAATAATACATACATTTTCCTGCACAGCAAGTGTGGGAATTTGTTTTGCTTGGCTGCGTATTTCTTAAAATGCTCTCTCTCTTCACTCCTCCCACCCCAATTTGGGATGGAGTGGGGTTGAATGGGGGTGGAGGTGTTAGGGCTAGGGTTATCAGAAAAAAAAAGTCATCAGAGTGTTTTTTTTTTAATGCAAAGAGAAACAGAGTCACAAAGTTACATGGTGAGTTTATTATATACTTAAAAGAAAACTTCAATAGAAACTTTAACTTTTCCTGCTGTATATATGGAAGTGCTCGTTTTATTTGGGATTTATTAATTTCAGATTTTTTGGGGGGGGCTAGGCAATGGGGTTGAGTGACTTGCCCATGGACTGGTGCTCTATCCACTGCGCCACCTAGCTGCCCCTAACTTCAGAATTTTTAAAAAGCAATTTTTAAAAAAATGTTAAGGCCAGGAATACCCCTATTTAAAAAGCACTTGTGTTATCTAGGATGTATGACATATTGACCCATTAACACTTCAGCAGAGTGCCCTGAGAGAATGGGATTTGGAATAGATACATTTTAATGAAAATAAAGAGGTCAGGAAGAAAAGAACAAGTCTCCAGTATTGCTATAGTGAGTACAAACCCCTAACATTTCTGCTGGTCCTTTATATCCTCCCCTTTGAATCTTTTCCCCCTCTTTTTGTTCCCTCCTCTCTCGCACTCAATCCTTAGGACCCTCTTGTTCTGATATCTATCATTTATTAGTATGAATGAAAATCTTATGGAACCATATGTTCATAGGATAATAGCTGAAAGGCCCTCAGAGCTACCTTATCTAACCTCTTCATTTTACATCTAAGGAAACTGAGGCCCAGAGAGGTTAATTGACTTAACTAAGGTCATACAGCATAAGAGACAATATTTTAGCCAAGGTCCTCTGGCTATGGAGTCAGCACTTTTCTTCCAGTACCATGTTGCTTCCCAGTCATAGAATCATAGTATCCTAGAATCTCAAGGTTAAAAGGGACCTCAGAGGTCATCTACTCAGAGCTGTAACTAGAGATTTGGCACTTGGAGAAAGCAGCAACAATTGTAAGTCACAGTTCAAAAATAATATAGGAAGCAATTTAAAACAAATTTAGTTTAGCAGGAGAGGGTATCATTCTGTATAGTGGCTTCTACACTACTGAAGGAGTGCATGGCTTAAATTTTTTTCACCCTATAAATTTTGGTGCCCTAGAACAAAGCCCAGATTATTCTGACCTCCATATCTAGTTCCACCTTCTTCTCAATGAAGGAATACCATCAACAACAGCATCTTTAGTAGGCTTGAACTTTTCTAGGGACAGAGAATTCATTACTGTGACCCTTTTCCACGATGAAATAAATCCCACATGATGCAGACACTCCCATTCCTTGTTAACACAGACAAGGGTCTTAAATAAAACCCAAAGGCAGTGGATACACATGTATACCTAAGAAACACAGGCTCACAGATGCTACCAAATTGTACAACACTGTAATGCTTCCATGGAACAGCTAACTGCATGATCATACCATTCTCTGCCAGTGGTATTTTCACTTTGAATGTGATTTCTTGCTGTGGAACACAAAGCTGTATACCCTGGTCAAGAGATTTTAGGTGATTGTAATAAGTAGGTGAAACAGTCTGAGGCTGGTCTTCTCTAGCCTTCTACCCTGCCTTAAGCTAAGACCTGCCTTCGTCTTGAAGGTACTAGAAGCCTGGTAACGTGGGAAAAGAGAGAGAGGAAAGATAGGAAACGAATCTGGGAAAGGAGATAGAGGAACAGCCCCAAAATAAACTTCATTACTCTACAATCATATGAGCATAGTATTTAGATGTAGATGGAACAACTGGGATCACCTACCCTACTTTCCTTGCTTTACAAGTAAACCAAGAACCCCAAAGATTAAGCTATTTCTCTGACGGCACATAGGTGGTAAGAAGTCAAGCAACTATAATTCAAATCACAATGACAGGATCATAGATTTAAAGATGTAAGACACATAAAAAATCATCTAATATCCTCATTTTACAAATAAGACAAGTGAGGCTCAGAAAGGTAAAGTATCTTACCCTAGGTCACACAGGTTAGGATTAGAACCTAGTTATCCTGACTCCAAATCCAGTGCTCTTTCTACATGACCTTCTACTTCACATACTTATTTCACATTTTTTCCAAGCCTATTTCTGAGATAGGGTCTGCCTTGCCTGCATGCAACATTCACTCAAAATCTACGTCGGAAGAGACTTTGGAGAGCAGCCAATCCAACCCATACCTGGGGAACAAAAATCCCCTGTACAACATTCCTTACAAGAGGTCCTCTAGCCTTCAGCTGAAGGACTCTAGTGATGGACAGCCTACTACATCCCAAGGCAACCAGTTGCACTTTTAGACAGCTCTATTGGTTAGGCAATGCTTCCATCAAGCTTAAATCTGCATCTCTACCACTTCAACCTCTTATTTGTATTTCTGTCCTCTTTGGGCCAAGCAGAGCAGACTGAATAATGCCCATAGGACATCGCTTTATGTACTTGAAGACAGCTATCAAAGTAAGTTAGTCAAAAAGCATTTATTAAGCACCTACTATGTGCCAGGCACTGTGCTAAGTGCTAGAGGCAAAAGACAATCCCCGCCCTCAAAGAGCACATAATCTAATGGAGGAGACAACAAGCAAACAAATACATATGAAAAAAGCTATATACAGAATAAATAGGAAATAATTAAGAGAGGAAGGCACTAGAATTAAGAGGGGTTAAGAGAGACTTCCTATAGAAGGTGGGATTTTAATTGGGACTTTAAGAAAGCCAGAGAAGCCAGGAGGTAAAGATGAGGAAGAAGAGCATTCTAGGCATGGAGGACCAAGATGGGAGTAGAATGTCATAGGAATAGCAAGATCAGTTTGACTGGACCATAGTTTGCTTAAAGAACAATGACGGAATAGGACCCTACAAAAAGTTGGCTGGAGCCAGATTGTGAAGGGTTTTTAAATGCCTAAGGAGCTTGTATTTTTTTCTTAGATGTAATAAGGATCCCCTGGAACTTACTGAGCAAAGGAATGACATGGTACCTTTCAGTTTTAACAGTTTATGATGTTTTTTGTCTATGTTTTCCTTTACAACATGACTAATATGGAAATAAGTTTTACATGACTGCACATGTATAACCTATATCAAATCGCTTGCCTTCTCAACAAGGGTAGAGGGGAAAAGGGAAGAAAGGGGAGAATTTGGAACTCAAAATGTTAAAAAACAAATGTTCAATTTTTTTACACATAATTGGAAAAAAATAAAATATTTTTTAAAGAACAGTCCATGAGTCTTTTTAGTCATAAAACTGACCAACTAGTTTCATTTGACCAAAAGCTAAGTTTATTCATAAAAATATTACCTTCCCTGAGCTTGCTTCATACTATATTTTCCTTTAAAATGGGCCAAATATGAATTTTACTCCCCTCACCTTGCCGTTAATATTGATGATGATAGCTATTATCCCTTACATTCAGACAGCCATCTGTTTACAAAGTTCTTCCCCACCTACTATCTCATGGGAGCCCCAAATCATCCTTGGATGGATCAGCTGGGCTGGGATTACTGGTTTGACAGGGAAGAGTTGTTGGGTTGATTCTTTGGATGATTTTCATTTGAGGCAATGAGACAGTCAGAGAGACAGAGATAGACAAAGACAGTGATAGAGATAGGTAGAGATAGAGACAGAGACAGAGACATTGTATGACTTATTATTTATTATAATTATCAGTATTATAAAAATTTGCTTGAGCTCTCTATGATGAAAACTCAGGCCTTTGGCTAGATTGTTGGTCTTCATATCACATTCTGCCCAGCAGGTAAGATGCTAATGAAAACCTGAAGGAAAGTCATTTAGCTCTCCAGTGTTGACTAGAGCACGTCCC